GTCAATATCATTTGCATCTGTTGTCGAAATTATTATTATGTTAACCATAGCTACAGTTCATGTGTACATATATATCTGCAACAGTATATCATACTTAAATACATAGGTCAATCTCTTCAACAACAATATATATAAAAACGTGTGTATTTATGCGTGTTCTTAATTAACAACCTGAAATAACGAGAACTATATTCCCGACATTTAACTTTTTAATATGGTGTTTCAATATATATATATACACACGAGTCTTGGTAAGGGCTTTACTATAGACTTGTAAAACTTAACATATACTATAGTACAATCATCACACTTCGTTGTAAATATTAACAATCGCGTGCGGTGTGCGTGCATGTTGCAGAGTTATTCGTTCCAAACATTAGTGGTCCATCGTGGTCAAAATTCTTTAAGCTTCTTAGCCGAGATTTCTAATTATATCCTGGGCCTACTATTAAATAAACACACAAACAATTGCAAATAACCTTTCTTTCCATCACACGTTGCTTTTTAGGTTATAAATGTAACAAGTTTTAGGTCAAAACGGGCATCTACAAATAAGTATATCAACGTGGCTCTATATTAGGAACTACAGACATACGTTTTTGTTGGATTTGTATTACTTTTATTTTACTTAATTACCATTATTATACATGCCTGTTTCGTCAGTTAACTAATTATTAAAGTATCTTACTTTAGGCGGAATGCTTGTTCGTTTGTTTTTGTAATCGTAAACAAGTATTTCAGAAAGGCAAACACTTAGTAATTCCCATTTATAACCACCGTTTCTTTACTTTTATAGGTACCCGTGTGATTTCCATGTGACGTTTCGAAATTGATTTATTACACGCTTCTCTCCTGTAAACGAATTTTTTGTCAAGATTATTAAAACAAAAATAAAATATAAGCCTGCCACAAGGTTGTCTACCTTTCCGATCCCACTCGAATCTCTTGTATTAATAAGTAGAGGCTGGTAGAACGGTGTTTTCTGTTCCACGGCCAATCGCGGCCGTTTTGTCACCTGACACATGTTCATTCCGGCCGAAATGCTGTTTACTGGACCTGCCACTGAGGGCGCCACATGATTTTGGACTGGCTGAACGAGAGCTGCTGAAGGAACTCCGGTAGCTGCCGGCATATTCAAATTACATTCTTCGGAATACCTGTAGGCTTCATGAAACCTGTAAAAAAGATGAGCAATCTTCAGTAATCAAATCTTGAAATTTTTAATTTTGCAACTTCCTTTCTACTTGTATGTATCACAAAAAGTATATTACGTATTTTAGACAAAATGTATCTTTCACTGTGACAGAGTAACCTGACTGGATAGGCATTTCATACAGAAATGTCTACAGTTATTGACATTCACAATTCGTTTCTTTTACTCCAAGCAAAGGGAACTGTAAATTCTAGGACCAAAATAGTATTTTTACTCTAGAAAAATAAAATGTTATCTGAAGCGTAGTTTGGCCATAATCAACTAAAGGCAGAACGATGCCAACCAAAACTGGTAAGGTTTATTAATACTTTATGGGCACACGTCCTTACGATCTAGAAAATACAATATGGACGTCATTTTTCCCGAAGTAGACGTCATGTGTATTAACAGATGGGCAGGTTTTTTTTATTAGAGTATCGCTACTTTCCGAATAATAGTACGTCATGAACAGGTTTTTATTGGAATAATGTACTTGACGAATAACATTATGTCACGAACATGTTTTTATTGGAGTAACGTTACTCCATGTTGATTGTGTTTAGACAACACTTCAGACATCACGCTAAGATAATGGTTGTTACACATTAGACTGAAGAGGTTTTGCAAGTCACTCAGTTTTCTCTTATACAGATGTATATCTATACAAAAAAGGAGTCATTTGAACTGTTTCGTTTTATTGTACCGTCAAGATCTGTTACAACCATCTCTACAAGAAGGATGAACGTGAGAGTAGTGAAATCTGAATCTCTTTCAGTACCACTACGGTTTTCATCAAATATAATCCGCCTTGTAATAGCAAAATGATAGCCTTATAATCAAATGTTCCAACGAAGCTTTAAAATGGAATAGATCAAGCTAATTACCAAAATAACTAGTTTTATTACACTAAAAAAGTTATCCAGTATATATACTTATATGTTCTGGTGAAAGAATAAAGTTTAAATATAAACATTTAACACGGGATCATATAGCTGCTTCAGACTACAAGTCCGTTATTCTTCAAAGCAAAATAAAGTGTTTTTATGATACACCCAAAGGTAAAACACAATTCGGAATACTCGCTTTTTATGTATTTTTTACGATGTGAACATATCTGATGGCACGCATGCGCACATACTCAGGTCAGTGAACTTGTCGTCGTGTGGGTTGGTAGATCCTCTGTCAATGAACGACAGAAAGAGTTCTTATAGCGCTCTAAAACCATTTCTATAGGCCTGAAAATATGGTGAAACGTTACGTTTGACTGCAAAATGTCTACACTTTAATGTAACTCATTAAATATCTATATGTTACTTGCTCGCACTACAATCATTTATTCAATCTTCCTTTATAAATTGTAATAAGTATAGATAAGGAAACAAAAATGCGAAAGTAATGAGTTGGAAAAAAAAGAAGAAATAGTTTATTTTACGTGTTTTTGCTTAATAGCTTAAAACAATAATGTCTTCATTAGGTAATTTATGGTTGAAATTACACCAAAAACTGACAGGATTTGTAATGTTTAACAACAAATCCTTTTGTCCAGAAATTTATCATTTTTTATCGTAAAATTCTGATAATTTTTTTTCATCTTTATACATTCGACTATACAGTTTCCTTGTTCTCCATGTTTCATGTCTAATTTGATTGTTTCATTTAAAGCCCATTAAGAAACAAAATTATAATTATAGTATTAAAAATCTGCTGTTCAATATGCACCGATTCTAAAGTTCTCCGGAAAGAACCGTGATATACAAGTCAAGCTTGTGTCGTGTTTTAATAAATATAATTACCCCCATTCTCTCTCTCTCTCACACACACAGCATATATATATAAAACCAGAGGGAATCCTTAATAGCCGCGACACTTGTAATTCGTTTTGGCAGGATTAGAGTAAATTAATCTACGAGACCTCTTTCCCTTTTTATTAGCTATATTTTTGTGCGCCAGTAATACCAAGCGTGGGGTGCGCCGTATACCCGATTCAATTTTATTACTCATCAGGATCTCTACCAGCTTACTCTCGAATTGAAATTCCTTTAGGCAGGATCTACGAGGCCTTGGCCGCAGTAAAATACATTAATTGAAAGGGTTTGACCTCCTGAGTTCAAAACTGTAATTATATCTAAAATCGGTCAAGAGGTGACGGAACTTTGAGCTAAAAGATTGTACTTGAAAAAAAAAATGAAAAAAAAAACTCGGAACCGTTCTATGAGCCGCGGCTAAAAAATGGACGAGTGACAAGAATAACTGTGAGACTATCCTATGAAAGCAGCTTGTTCCCATGAAGCGTAAGTTAACGTGGAAGGTATGGGACCATGTGTGATGCCTGACGTTTCAACACTTTTATCTGTTATACTCAAGTTACTTCATAACACTTGGGCAAATGTATCACACCAGTTACTATTTTCTTACACATCTGACCACGTCCAAGGTTATACTGTAAGAAACTCTCTCCAATGTTAAACAAACAGAAAAGAGTGGGAGGGATTATTTACTTGTTAAATTCATCTCTTACTGAAACCGAAAGGATTGAGCAGCGTCTACTTGATAATAATAAAAAAAAACCTTGGCATCACTTCAAGGCCGCCAATATACAGCAGTATCCCGCCTACTGCTCGCTTGGGCCGGACGTCTTCCACCTGTTAGTTTGTTTGTTTTTTTACCGTTGGCACTCAAGATGCACGTAAAGCAAATTAAAAGCAAGCTAAAAATCCTTCTACAAAATGAAATAACTGTTTGTAATGCAGCTTAAAATGTAACAATAGTAATTATCAACACCAATTTCTACTTACTTTTAGAACTCTTCTGAAATGGATTAGCAACTAAAGATTATAGAAATACCCGATTTACACAGAATCTATTCTGCAAGTGATAAAACAATACAAGTTATAAAAAAGAACTGATACTGAATGTAAAACTTTATTTCCTTAAGGCAAAAACTGCAGTTTCATTTCTCAGATAATAAAAAGAAATTCAAGTAAATAATTAGTTTCTTCCAAATACAAGTTTTTCAATAACTAAACAATGTGGAAGTAAATTGTTATCATTTCCAAGAACAAGAAGAAAAAACAACAACAAAGAACTAATGATAGGTTTTCTAAACACATTCTTTATATTAATAAAAATGGTTAGAACAAAATGTAGCTAGACTCTTGAATTTCTGTCTCTTAAAATATATTGTAACACCTATTTAGCGTTACTATTGTACACGTAGTAATGTTTAAAACTCATGTATAGATAAAGCTTAAACAGAAAAACAAATTAATCATTATGAAAAAGATTCCCAGAATATGAATAATACACAAAGTCCAGCTTCTTTGAGTGAACAATGTCAATGAAGAAGGAAATTGTGCATTAAAGAGTTCAGCAACATATATTAAAAGTAAGAGAACCTGTCCTATATACTTATCTTATTTTATAGAATAAAAATGGCATTATCATTTATAATTTATCTAACAACTATTCATTCATACTACAAGCACATTAACTAAGCTTCCAGATTGGTGGACCTGACTAACACCTAGTACACAGAAAAATTAAATTATTTTTTTAAAACTGCAGACAGAATAATTGTATATGAAAATCAATTGAAATAAAACTGCTATTAAATATGATTCTCTAAGCAATATTCATTCTGTCCCTTTGCTACATTGAAATTGGTCTATTTCACTTTCAAACTTATAATACTTTCCCTTAATCACCAATCTTTTATATTTTACAATATATATATACATAAATATTTCTTTTGCTCTATGCATAATATAAAATCAATCTACTTATCTAAGTTTCTCCAGCAGCTTACACTGTAGTGTCAAATTTTATATACAAATTTTAACCTCTGTTTAAACTCTCATTTTTATCTCCTGTGAGAACCAAATATAATGGAACCCATAACAATACATTTTACAACATTGAATAGCAACACCTAAAGAAATCAGTGTGTATATATGTATGTGACAATTACTGTGTGTTTATGGAAAACAACCGTGTTACATCTAGCACAGACCTTGAATATTTGCTTTGCATATCAATTATACAGGAATGTATCACATGACATTTAATTATTCCATGCCACGTGTGTACATGCTCACTTAACTAATAGCCTTGAGCTTTTCTGACCTCTGTTGACACACTTAAATTCTAATTCAAACCTTAAACTTATCTTTCAAACTCCCTTTTACAAAACAAAGATATGGAAAATTAGTTTTCTTAGATCCTTTTTTTGCTGCATTTTGACAGGTAACAAACATATCCACAACAAGGTAAAATCAAAACTTTAATGTATTCAGTAACAATCATAATTATTAATAATAATACTACTATACTTTAGACTACTGGTATGAGCTGTCATTAAAGATAAGTTATGCCACAATTCAGAATACAGTTTAAGAAGATATACACAGTAAAAAAAAATGGTGCAACATAGAAAAAATACATTAATCTAAAAAATTAAGTGTATATCTATGTGTATCATACTATAAAGATGTTCCATTATGTGTTAGCATCCATCATCCAGAGTTGGTTGATCCAATCACAGTAATTTTTTGTATGGTAACTAGAAACTATTTTATTTTAGGATTTGTGCCCAAGAAAAGGGATAAAAAAAAGACCCTGAAATAGCACATTTCCCCCTTTTTTTTATAGACTTTTAGCTTATATCACCCACAGTTGGCTGCCTAGATTATCATAATTGAAACTGTCCAATAGTTTATATGAGCTCTTTTGTTTTATGATTTTTACCCAAGAAGAATGGATTAAAAAACATCTTGAAATAAGGCACATTTCCACTTCTTTTCTTTTATAGACATAAGTATTAATCAATTAAATGAGTCAATTACTATTTTCCACAAAGCAGGGTATACAATTAGCATCTGATGAGGTCATTGGGGATTTAACAAGAGAAGAAAGGGGAACATTAACTAACATTGTCCTTTATACAGTTTCTGCTTCTTTAATGGGTATCCTCAGTTAGTCTTTAATAAAAGATATTTCATACACAAAGCCAAGTTTACTTTACGGCAAAATAAAAAAGATATTGAAGAAATAACTAAAGGACTGTTAAGTTTCTATGAAATATGTATTCAGATCTCTTGTGAAAGGCAGCATAAATATTTTTGTTAGACATTTAACACCCTCCATAGAAAAGCAATCTACTTGAAAATCTAAAAAATGCAATAACTGTTAAATAAACAATATGAGAAGGTTCTTATGCTTTAAATTAAAAATATTTCTAGCATAAGTTGAAATGATTAAAACAAAGTTTAAAACCGAGTTTCATCAGTATTCACCAAGTACCATCTTTTTTCTTTTGTTGTTGTTGTTAAAATGTTGTGGTTTGCACTTTTAGGATCAACTTAACATTAAAGATATCTTTTATTTTTAAGTAAAATATTTTTATACACAGACACAATCTACAGATTATACTTTTTTAAATTCTAATCAGAAAATTCTGAAGTGCAATTTTTTTACTTACTTAAGTTAACATCATAATCCTTGGAAAATAAAGTGAGGTTTACAGTATGAACCATTTCAAATAAGAATAACTGAATGTCAATGTGTGAAAACTTAACAGATTAGAACTAACCAATAATTTCAAGTTTTTTAAATTAATGTACAAAAAAAAATACTTTCTAGAATCATCCAAGAATATTACCATAATCAATGATTACATTTATCTAGCTTACCTTTCTCTGTCTAGTTGTTCATTGTATATGCTGATGTCTGAAGTAGGAAGAAGAGTTGGACAACATCTCCCTTGGTGCTGAACTTGACCTTGGATATGATGTTCTACAGGACTTTCAGCCTACATGAAAACACAGCAAAAAACTGGACATTAATAATCTGTCAAGATACAGAAACATAATACAAGTGTTGCCACAAAACAGTTAATGATAACACAAAATTTATGACTCAAACTGTCCCATTAAGTGCATTTACTATTCCACCTGATGAACAACAAAACTTATTTTCGGTTTGATCATTCCACAGAATAACATTTTCTTGTTTCATCACGACCTCAAGTAATAATAACAACACTAATTATGTCTGCTTCACCACAACAACATAAATTACATTTATTTCACCATAACCACACAAGTAACAAAATCATCAATGATATCAGCTTCACCACAACTACATGAGTAATACGATATTATCAATTATATGTCTGCTTCACTATAACCACAAGTAATATGATAACATCAATTACAAATGTTCTTCATCACAACCACACAAGTCATATAGTATCATCAATTATGTCAGCTTCACTGCAACAACATGAGTAATATAATATCGCTTCTGATGTAAACCTTCATAAGGAAAGATCAGGGTGACATGTCAATTTGCACATTTAGGTCCCCTTTCCACTCACCAAAACAGGTAACCAAAGCACTAAATGTATGCTTTCATGTTCATCTAACACTTTTAAACATTCTGATGAGAAACATTAAACATATAAAAAAATTCTGAAAAATAAGAACATAAAAACCATTTGCACTTACAATTCCCATTTTCTTATAATACAGTAGTCAGCTCTAGTGTGCAAAAGTGACTCCATGAACTACTTCATATTAGTACTTTTACAACTGGTTGTGTTTTACTTGTCCACACAAGCTCTCTTGTAGTTTGTTTTTCACTTGGGTTAGACGTTTTAAAATGAAAAACAGTTATTTTGTCTTGGAAATTTGAGAAAATAATATCAATGAAAGTGAATCATTCTTCCTTACACCATAAGCCTTTAAAACCACCTATGTAGTTTTTGTACACTTTTTTTTAAACAAGAAAGATGGCTATAAACCAAAAAAGTTAAATTTAACACAAGTTACAACTTTATTTTTAATAGATTAGAGTTTAGAATAGATTAATTGTGGAAGATTAATTATTTAAACAACTTAAATAAAAAAATTTCCTGAACCATGAAAATGGTTTAAATGTAGATTAAAATAAAAAATATATAAATATTCCTTTAAAGTCTGTTTTTGTTCTCAGATGATTATGATAAGCAGGATTTTATTATGAGGCCTAGAAGTTTCATAAGTTGTAAATATTAACCATGGAAAATTGAGGTGTACACAAATGTGAAAGTTATATGAAAAGGATGTTTGCACTGGAATAAAAAGTGTACAGATTACTATTACTCATTAATACAGATTTAAAACAAGAGATACAGTATATTGAAATTGTTTTTTTTAACTAACTTTTTGTGCCTCTTCATCATTTTTTTAAGCACATTTATATGGTCTGATGAAAAGAAATACAGAAACTATCATTATTCTAGTTCTGTAAATCAAACATTGTAACTATAAAATAGTAAAAACTAAAACTGTTAAAAATGCTGGAAGAGAAGAAGAAAAACTGGTCAACAATATGAGAAGATAATTTTCAATAAATTCCACCAAAAATCCTCTGATGAAAATATGTTTTTCCACAATCTTTCATTTTTTTTCTTATTTTCAGATCTGTCATGCAATGTTCATATTTTTTAGTTATTCTTTCTGTTAAAAGGCAAATGTTTAAAATAACTTTTTCTATGTACAATGTCAATAAAAAAAATCAAAGGGCAATCAAAAAACTAACAAACAAATATAAGCTAATAATACCTTCTAATCTTTCTTTTTCTACCAAAAAATCAAATGGAAATAAATACTGGAACATTTAAGAAAATATGTAATATGTTCTCTTAAATAAATATTCTTCTTAAATATTTTAAGATTTATTTCAATATGAAGTATTTTAATATCTATGATGCATAAATTTATTTAAAAAAAATAATGTTTTGCTAATTATACTGCTTCTAAGTAAACAGTAAACTTGCATATACATAATCATTCTTCTGTCAACTCTATAAAACACCATTGCTAGGGTTAAAAAAAATTCCATTTTTCAAAGAGAAATAAGACACTAAAACTTGTTTTGTGGATAGCATGAAGTATAAATAAAAAAAAACATTACTTTATAATACAAAATACAATAAATCAACAGAAACCCGTGTTTAGACCTCGATCTTCATATGAATGGTCTACAATTATTTCAAACTTAACATTCCTCAAAATAGTTTTAAGTTGAACTTTTAGAATGTTGCAATACAAGATAAAGTGGCAGCAAAAGACAATAAATTTGAGATCTTACTTAAACAAGAAACTTAACATCATGAGCTGAGCTTAAGTTCATAGCCATTAATAATCAAAGCTGAACACAAAATGAACAGTAAGTTTGTACAACAAACAGAAATGGTGGATCAAGGCTTTGTTCCTTCAGAATCTATTAAATACATATAAGTTAGGAGTTAAGGCCATAGTTTTCTGTAATACTAAATATGATACAAAGGAACCAACAAACTGTTGGACATTAGCAAGTTAACTGCAATGACATGCAACTATGTTAATATTTTGTACTACTGTAATATTTTTAGTTAGATTTCAAACAACTCCACCTCCAAGATGACTTCACAGACCCAAGTTTGGAAAATGCTCATAACAATGGGATCTTGTTTGCATAATTTATGGAAAATTTGTATCCTAATCCAATTTCAACTGCCAAGTAAAGAGTTATATGTTCAATGAACCACAAAAAGAAGGTGAAAGATTTGTTACCAAATTAAATGGAATAAAGCTACTGGTAAAAACTTTGTACAAATATTCGTGAAACAAAAAGGAGTTTTTATCCTCATGCAATTCTTAATAACAGCTTTCTAACTAGGAAGAATTTTACTGATTTTTATATTCCACTTTTCCAAAAAGTCACCTACATTAACTTAGTTTAAGTATAAGTAACTATCAATTCATTTTGGTCTAACTCACTGCCACACATTGGGCATTCTTCTCCCATCAAGATGCACACTATTGGTAATATAAAAACTGCAAAACTTCACTTTTGTTTGATTTAATGCTAACAATGGATATCAAAACCTTACTTTATTTTGACACTTAACTTACATGATAAGAAGCATCCCTGTAGAGCTGCGAATACAAAGATACTGGAGTACGAGGTGCTGCTGTACGTGGATAGGAGTAACGGGTGGGATTTTGAGGAAATGAGTAACCAGGAGTAAATGCCACTGGAGGACTCAATGGCCCTGTTTGTCGTTTGTAAGATGCATTTCCTTCATGAGTAGGTCTGAAATAAATCAATATTCAGAACAATAAGTAACTAAATGTAATAGTTTATTATTCATGAACAAAGACTGTCGTTACTTGACACAGAAAAAATGGCTGATAACTCAATGCTTGATACAAGTCTTTAGTAGTTAAAAAAAA